TTGAGACTCCGCCGTAAGACATCTAGCCTTTATTATGGATATCTATGGTGACACCCAGCAGGCGTTTTGTAAAATTGACAGGAACTCAAGATGGCTGCCTGTTTGCTGCGTTTAGGTCGACTCAAGGTAATCTTTTTCCATCTGTTACCATTTATTTTTACTGTGTTGTGTGATTATTTCAAGTCTTTACACATATCAGGCCAGTATTTAGGAAAGCGCAGGCTGGAAAACGGCTGTTAGGATAAGATTTGCTGTCAGTTTCTAATGACCTCGAGAGCCGTAAAAGGAAAAGAGGAAAATGGTTTTTCTGTATTATTATTTTTCTTTAAACTATTTAACTCGGTGTTTAATTACACGCGGGTTTGTTTTTAAACGTTGCGTACAAAACCACTCTCAGCATTTTGCAAATGGCAGCACTGCAGTGAACTTAGTTTTAAGTTGGATACTCGACAGACATTTGCTCCGGTTAAACCTCTTTTGGACCGGTAGTTGTCCCTCTTATTCTAATGCTACAAGCCATATGCTGATACAACATAAAGTTAATCGTTTCTAGATATATAGACAATGAACATTCGGTTATATCAGTGTAAGGCTTGTTTTCCAAGCATTTCAGCCTGTAAAACCCGAAAAAATAATGCAACAGAGTGGTGACCCTATAAATATATGTATTCATGTAATTATTTTGTTCTATATTTATCAATCCATCCATCCATCCATCCATCCATCCATCTTATCTCGCTCAATCCATGCTGGTGCCATCCATTGACGAAAGAGAGGATACACCCTGGACAGTTAGCCGGTCCATCACAGGGCAACATATTTATATATATATATATATATATATATATATAAAGTAATTTTTGCTCGTGTTTGGAATTAATATAAATAATTTATGATTTTTAATGTTTTTTTTATTTATTTAACTGGACATTTAACTTAAGTATTTAATTATTAAATTGTGAACTTTACATTTAATGGTTTATTTACTATAATACTTATTTCATGATATTTATCTAGGGTGACCATATTTTCATTTGGGAAAACCAGGACACTTCGGAGCGGGGGGGGGTGATATTGAAAGAACAAATGTCTCATCATCGGTTACTTGGCATAATGTTACTTGGCGCAGAACAGTTGTGAAAATTTGATGTTCAGTTTAATATAATAATACAACTCTGTGAATAGTTCCGTCTGAAGTTAATGGGAATAGTTGTTTTAATGGTTATTGAGTCAGATATGTGGCGGTAATGTTTGGTTTATCTAAAGGTTTT